AAAACTGTATTTGTAATCAAAATACTCAAGGTTCTTGTGTTTTCCTGCTCCCATACTATTCTATGATTTTATGGTTATTCATACACCTGCTTATGCACCTACATAAACTGTTAAATGCTGTTAACCTCAGTCTTTGCTTGGGGCATCGCATAATGCTTATCTTGTGCCGTGTGTTGGTACTCTGCTCTAGAAAGTATACAAAGTTGCAGCATTTACAGAGAAGGGTATTCAGTTGTAGTCAATTTGGGAAGAAAAGCAGTTTATGATGATTGCTAGAGACTGAAACAGTTCATATTTTCTATTATCCTCATATTATTTCTCGAAAAGTGTGCCTGGGTGTAGTACAATGTCTCAGGGCTGCACAAATGAATGATTCTGACTCCATACTCTGCAAGAGAGTTATGATCAAACACTGCCTGTAAGAAGTGTCCAACCATATGCCATATGCCTGCCCTGCTATTTGACCTTTCAGATAAATAAACAGTTGGCACTGTCACTTGGCATAGAGCAAATAATAGGAGCATACATATGATAGGGAAATATATATAGTATTTTAATTTTGTATTTTATTTTTATTAATATATTCTATAATAAATGTAATATGTATTATACTCTGCAAAAGCATTGCAGTAAAGTTGATACAGCTTAAATTCCCTTTATGTCTTCTCATCTTGAGTTTAATTTTAACATTTGTTAGTCTTCTTTGCATAGCAGCTTTTCCGTTGGCACAGTAAGGCCTGCAATAGCACACGCACGCCTATTGGGAAAGCATTTTTCTTTTTTGCTTTATATGGACTCTTAGAAATAATTATACAATAAAGATTCGAAAATGACTGTATTAGCATAATGTCCTCCATCCGATAAGCAGGTATCCAACAGAGTATTGATGGAAGTGTTTTACTTTGCTGACTGTGTTGTGTTGATTGAACTATTTAGCAAATTGTTAATTTACATGGTGAAAATAAATAGCTGGTAAATGGACAGTGTCTCATCAATACCTTCTTTTAAAAATAAATTTGCTGCACGTAGAGGAATGAGATCTGTCCTATAAAAGTCAATCAGTATTGTTGCAGAACCTAGTCACAATTTCAGCATTTTCAGCTCATCCAGCACATGCACATGAAGCTACAACTCCTTGAATGACTGAAAAGTGATAGGAAATGTCCTTCCCCGCTGTGCTGGGTGGTGCAGCGCTGCTGGGAGGCAGGCAGTGGTGGGGAGGATGGGGACAGCTGTCTGGGGAGCCGGGGTGGTCCTCTCAGCAGAGTTCAGTGCTCGCTTTCTGGGCAGAAGAGCCTGTGGGGAAAGAAAGGTGCAGGTGGTCACTGTCCCAGGGTGTCTCCAAGTAATAGGTAAAACTCTCAGTATGTGTTGTGTTCTTGTATCACTGCCAGTGTTATACTGGGGGAGCGAAATTGGGAATGCCTCCCAGGAAGGTACTATGTAGAAAGAGCGTAAGTCAATTTTTCAGTGCCTGCTTTCAGTAGTCCCTCTTACCTCATGCTTTGCCTGATGTGGTGCATACCTTGTTGTTGTGAGATGCTGGGAGCATATAACAGTGGTGACAGAACAGCACATTTGAGCTGCCAGCAGCAATAAGTACTGGAAAGTCAGTGGAAGCCACTGGTGATTTGATGAGGTAAATCTTGAGTAACTGAGGAAAGAATCTAACATTATTTCTGAGCAAAAAAAAAAAGTGCTTTCCGAACATGGCCTTTGATCATCAACTGAAATGCAAAGGCTTTAATTAAGGGCAGGCGCAAAAGTTTCAGCAATGATAACGATTCAGTCTGCTGAACTCTGACAGTGTGTGTGAATGTGGTTTCCACTGCCATGAATGACTGAAAGAAACGTTCTTTCTAATCATATAAAGCTGCCTTATACCAAAGGACAGTTAATTAAAGCTGAATTTAGCATTTATGTCTAGAGAAATTTGACACCTAGATAGGTCTGAGATAAATGCAGTATAAAGGTAGCTACTCATTGCGTATAGCTCTATAGAAGATTTAAAGAAAATGAAATGTATCAGGAGTATCTGCTCTATTGCAGCACCATTTTTCCTGGTATGACGAGTTGTGGTATATACAAAATAACTGTATTGTTTTTCAAATTAAATCACTGGGATGAACACTTGCTATAAGCATTTTGCGTTTGACCTCGGTTACAAACTAGCTGTCTTGCTTTACTTTTTGGATCTCTTTGTACACCTCTTGTCTGGGAAGGTAAGGCTGAAATGTGTGTTATTTCAGGGAAGTTCAGTTTTACCCCAGTCCTGAAAAAACTCACCGTTCAGAGGTTTGCATTTTGCTCAGGAAACCTAGAGCAAATAATGAGAAAACTGAAATTCTAACAGAATAATGGATGCTTGAGATTACAATCTACTTCTTTGTTTGTATTTATGTTTTGTAGTTGGTTTAGAATACTATTGGGGCCATTAGGGAAAAGTTGGTTTATGACAAGGCTTTAAAAAGTACAGCAGTTCGTTTAATCAGGTAATGTACTGGGAGAATATTTGCTCTTTCAAATGCTTTTTATTTCTCCCTCCGAGTTTTTTTTCCCCTCTAGAGCTGAGTTGTTTCCTGTGTTTTACTTTTGGTCATGAACTGCCTGACTTGGTTTGCAATAATGCTTGCCTGGGCCTGTGTGGACATCTTGTAATGGGACTCTGGTAATTGCAGTATGCTGAAAGTTGAAGTATATTTGGGAACACAATCAATAGACAACATGAAAGGGACCAGACTGTAGCTCCCATATATGTATTTACATACACGACTTCTCTCCTTAATGAATATTTTAAAACTGCTTCTCAAAAAAAAATAATAGTTAGAAACGCACACACTTGGATCAAAAAATCCAGTTTCCTCTCAAAAGGAATATATTTCAGAGAGAAGAGAGGCTTAGTCTAGTGTCAGCCCCACCAAACACAGTAATTATGTACATTTGGCTGTGTGGCTACTGGTTATAAAGGGATTAAAACAAAGTGAAAACAAACTAACAAAAAATGTAGCTGAACCGAAGAGTATTTTAAAACTGAAGTTTGTGGATACTTTTTCTACTACATTTGTTGTGACACTAATTAAATTGAGCTTGGAACTGCAAACAAGCAACAGATATTTTTTTTCCTTATTTAAATTCATTTGCAATTGCTAAATGTGTTTTTGTTGTATGGAAAGCTTATGCTATAGGTTTGTCAGGTTTTGACATCCATTTCCACTTCTCTGCTGGATTAGAAAAACAGTTGTTCTCCTGAGCTAAGACTTCCAGCAAAGAAGGAATGAATATTTATGATTTGAAGTGTATGCTTGATTCCATTGATTTCTATAAGCATAACACATACTTGGGCTTCCTCTTGCTTTAAAGCACACCTTAGTATTTTGCAAAAATAATTTTACGTGTTTTTAAATACTTGCTGAGCTGCTTCTGGGTTACAAATGCATCTTCCTATAAGGCAGTGACGAAGAGAAAGGTTCATTCTCAAATTGTTTCTATTTCTCCAATAAATATCCATTATAATTAGAAAATGGAAATATTTCCTCACTTCCATGTTGGGCCAGATGTTACCTCTCTGAGACTAGCATATAGAGCAACTTTTCAGCATCTTAAAATGACATCAAATTTTTGGTCTGGCAATGGTACCCCTTCTTTCTTGTATGAAACAGATTTGCTGTAAGTTATTTCCCCCATTTCCCAAGCCCCCAAAAGGGTAAGATGGGCGTCACCAATAAGGAAATATCAATAATTTTGTTTTCATTTGTGACTTGAAGTATTTACAGGTAAATTTTAGATACAAATTTTGTATTGAAAACTTTGTACTAGCGTTCCATAGAAAGCCAAATGCCTTGGAGTTGTTAATGTTAAAGTGAAAAGAATCCAAATGTAAAATTACATCCAAATGAGGACTCCCACAGATTTCTAAAATATACTGGCCCTCGTTAAATTAATTTTAGCAGTTCTTTTCTATCTCCGGGCTTTTGTGGAAAAAAAAAAAAATTGTTCTCACTGTAGAGAATCAAGGGACCTGACTGAGAAAAGCTATGATTCTACTTTGTCATGTCTCTGTGGTGGATTTTTGGTTGGCCTTTTCTAAGAACATGTTTTATTTAGAGTAACAATAAATTTTCTTTAAAGGAGGGTTTTCTTTTTGAATAGTAAGTTGCAGCTAGAATAATAGAATTAAGGGACACATGAGGGTATGGGACAAAATGCGTCTTTTGCTGACAGATTTGCAAAATGTGTTTGAGTTTTACTTTGAAATCAAGCCAAAAATTTGTCTTTGGGGGGCTGTGCTGTGAATGGGTGTCCGTTGTTTAGGGTAGGTAATCGAACAGATGGGAATGCTCAGTACATGCCTCCCTCTGGTGTTGCTGAAGCTGGCATCCTTTTACCGGCAAACTCATCCAATAGACTATTTTGGCTCAAGCAGACCATGTTAGAGGGGTATTACAGAGGTTTTCTTATACTTTTTCTATCTTGTTTTTACTGTTTAATCACCTAAGGGTGGTAGGAGGAGACAGGGTCATAAGTTGTGTGAGACTGGGGATCAGGATGTCTGTTGCAAGTCAGCCTGCAAAGGCAAGTACTTGTTTGGAGAAAATACATACTCTTTAATGTACTCTATTCTTTCATTTGTGGTTGAAAATTTTGGTTCCAGATGACCAAATTCTTCTAGATGAAGGATTCTGGCATTCAAGTTAGAGCCAAAGAGTCTGATTTTAGGAGAGCAACAACTGAGCACAGCCTTTCTCCCTTTAGAGAATCAGGAAGGTTCAGAATGATAAATGGGTAGTGGTAAGAGACTTTCTCCACAGGAACCAGAAGATATTGTGTTTAAAATATTAATTAATTTGTTAATAAATTATATCAACATGTATACCTCTCTTTAAATTCTCTATATCTCCAAAATATAGAAAGTATGAGGAAAAATTTCTTATTCTTATTGGAAAGTAAAACCAAAAAAAGTAATGTTTGATTTGCCGTTTTGTTTTTTCTTCTTCTCTCAGGTCCGCACCAGTGTCCTACCTGATCACAAGGAGCCAAGAGCAGATGCTGGGGTAAGCAATCTTATTTTCATTAATTGATTTTTTTCACCTTGTCAGCAGACACAGACAGCCAATGAAGAGAAATAGTGCTCTGCCTAGCTGCTAAACAGGAGCTGGCAAGCTTTTTAATAGCAGAATTTGAGTTAAATGAATAAAAAAAAAATCCAGGTAGGAGTAATAGTCTCTGTGATTGATGTAATCCCATTCACATATTTCACCAAGTCACAGAATTGTAGGGGTTGGAAGGGACCTTCGGGCATCATCTAGTCAAACCTCCCTGCCAAAGCAGGTTCACCTAGAGCAGGCTGGACAGGAGCACATCCAGGTGGGTTTTGAATATCTCCAGAGAAGGAGACTCTGCAACCTCTCTGGGCAGCCTGTTCCAGTGCTCTGCCACCCTCAAAGTAAAGAAGTTTTTCCTCATGTTGAGATGGAACTCCCTGTGTTCCAGCTTATGTCTGTTGCCCATTGACCTGTTATCGGGCACCACTGAGAAGAGTTTGACCCCATCTTCATGACACCTGCCCTTTAGATATTGATAATCATTGATTCTATGTTTCTATAAGATCCCCTTTATCTTTTCTTCTCCAGGCTAAACAGACCCAGGTCTTTCAGCCTTTCCTCATAAGTGCTTCTGTCCCTTGATCATCTTTTCAACTTTCCACTGGACTCTCTCCAGTAGTTTCTTGTCCTTCTTGAACTAGGGGGCCTGGAACTGGACACAGGACTCCAGATGCAGCCTCATCAGGGCAGAATAGAGGGAGAGGATGACCTCCTGATCACACTCCTACTGATGCACCCCAAGACACCATTGGTCTTCTTGGCCACAAGGGCACATTGCTGACTTATGGTCAACTTGTTCTTGAAAATCCTTTTCAACTGAAATTATCCTGAACTATCTAGACTCCTCTCTATTGCTGTGCAAGCAATCTGGATGAGATTGAGAGCTTGAAATGGCATTGCTTCCATGAGTTTGGCCTGTCATCTTCTGGTTTGCCTGTGCAGAGTATAAAACGTTCAACTGTAGGAGTTGCCTTTGGGTTCACAGTAAGAAATTACACTGATGACATGTGGAGGACTTATTTTTCTGTGTAGGTCTAGAGAACTTTTGGCAAAGGGATGTCATTTCTGTGTCTGAGACAGTGAGAACTTCCCAGATAATAAGGACGCTTCATGGGGTTGGGAAAAGCTGGTCCTGCTAGAGCTGAATAAAAGACCAAGCACCATCTGGGGCACGTATCAGATCTATGTCTGCAAACATTTGAAATAACTGGTTTTTAAATTTTTTATCCTAAGGTGTTGACTCTCCTGCATTACTAGGACTTCCTTGGCGTAGTTTCCAGGGCTTTAGGTAGTGTTTGAAAAAATCTGTACCTTGGCAGCAAGTTCAGTCTTAGCGGAATAATGGATGTGTTTCAACTTTTCATACAGCTATTATAGAGACTTTTCTCCTGGGCTAGCTGAGATTATTCATCAAACTTACTCAAGGCACATATTTTAGGATTTATAATTGTAAGTACCCCACTAGCAAAATTACAGAGGAATGTTACTGTGTAGTTAGTATAACAGCAGCAGTGCTGTTTAAAGCCTACTTTTCAAGCCTCTCCAAGCCACGTGTGCAAAGTTAGATTGGTTTGTAGAGTGCCAGTTCAGGCCCCAGGGTAGACTATTTGTATCTACATCAGTATTGAAAATACTTGAAAAAGTATTCTCCAGCATTGTTTGGAATAAGACCCCTTGAGCATTAGCATAACTCTCTTCATTTGGGTCATGGGATCATTCATGGTTCTGTTTAATTTTGCAAATAACTCCTAATTGCGTTGTCAGGCAAAGAAAATTTTATTCCAAATAAGCATGAAAACATGAAACAGAAAAATAAGTAGAATTTTTTAAGCGCTTAAAATTACTCACCTTTCATTTCGTGACTATAGAGAAGTAGAGATGACACTCAGAGATGGTTAGTGGGTACAATGACCAAAGCTCCTAGATTGTGTAAGAGATCAGTGTAATTGCTTCTTAGCTGATTACAGGTTCTTAAAGGACTGTATAGTTCTGTTGTGCTCCAAAAAGGAGCCCCAAGTGACCCAACTTATATAAGCTTCATTCCACATATCCCTCTCTCTCTCTTTCCAAATGGTAAGGTTGCAAATACAAGCACTTAAATGCCATGAAAAAAAAAAATCAATAAAAGCTGTTACACAGACGTTGTGCTGTGGAATGTGTTCTTATTGTACTAAGAAGGATGTGCTTTTGTAAGAAGATAACTCATGTGAGCTAACCATGCCACCATAGAATTGTAGTGAGGAAACACTGCTGTGTTGACTCATCTAAAGGAAGAGGGATCTATTTGTTTGTTCACTCTAGCAGGGCTGTGCCTCACTGTGTCACACCTGGATGTATTTCCTGTAAAAGTACACGTTTCATTTTGGCAATGAAAAGTAACCATGATCTTTGCTGGTATGGCTGTGGTATTTTTTCTATGTATTTCCTATAGGCTTTTTTCTTCCTTACTTCCTGTTCAACAATTCTTGAATCCATTATTTCCTCACCTTCCCTGGGCTCTCAGCTTGCATCTTACTCCCTTTGCTGCTTAAGTGCCAACCAAAGCCCAGGAAATCTGAGCCAGTGTCATGGATAGCAACGAGCTGTGACTGATGGCTTGGTTTACCAAATTGGCGACCAGTGTTGGTGCTTACATGAATTGAGAATCATGATTTAAGCTGTGCATTGTAGGTGCAATAAAACCTATCTTAGTGTAGAGCTTTATTATTAACATTCAAATACTCAATATCCAGCTCGTCTTTCTGAAAGAAAGGAGGCTGCAGGGTTTGTTTTTAGTGGGGGAAGTTACGCTTCTCAGTAGCAACAAATTCTCTTCTCTTTTTCCCTGAAGGGGAAAGTTGCTCTCTGCATGCAGCCTGCATTGAGTCAGAGCTTCTTGATTCTTCTTCAGTTTGTATATCCCAAAGCATATATAATTCACCCTGGAATTTTACTTTGCTATTGCAATAGTAGAGTAACATTAGTGTAATGTAATAAAAACAAACTTTGTATACTTCTTATCGTTTTCTTGCAAAAATTCAACATAATCTTCTGATCTCATTGCAATTTATTCAGATCAAGTAATATTGAGTTGTATGCTTGAAAGATAAAAGGATAGAAGGTGGCTGTAGACTGTAACTTTCTTTCCCGTTGTTCAGGGCAAGAATACTACTATTGGCCAAGTTGACCAAACGAGATTTTGAGCAATGTGCAGCAGGATATGATCGGGGGTAAAAAATAGCCAAAAAACAAAAGAAGATTAATTTGTTTTCCTCTTTGCACTAAATTCTTGATAATGTGTGAAGGATTGATAGAAGGAAAAGACACAGTGGTGTAGCTTAATTTATCTAAGACATTCTAGTTTCGTTAGCCCATTTCTCTCTGCACTTGTACTGCAATGAACAGGTCCACCTTACAGTGGAAATAAAGGAAACAAGTACTTACAAACCCTGCCATAAACTAGAGCAATACACCACTTCTATTAATAAACTTGCACTGAACTCAGTGTATTTGGAATACATAGAGGGTAGTGCCTTGAGGCAGGGGCTGGAGCAAAATCCATAGCAACACCAGCTTTGGTAAAACACTGAAAACTTAGTATTTCTTGTAATATAGAAAGAAAAAGATGCAAAATGCAAATGCTTGTACTGAACAAAAATCTTCCCATGGCTGTATATTTTACAACCGGTCAGATTGTTCTTAATTAAAGGGAGAGATGTTCTTGCCCATAATACCAGAATTTAGCATGATAATTGTGCTACAAATGCATTAAAACTTTTGCTGGATAGTGTGTCAAACTAGTACATTAGGATGTAATATTACCAAAGAGAGATTTCGAAGTGTGAGACTAAAAAAAAAAAAAACCAATTAAAACTTCAAAATGTAATAGATGTGTTATTTTTAATTTCCGCTTTGTTTTGTAGCGAAGCTTCCTGGGCTGTACAACTTTTAGAGTAGGAGACTTGGTAAAGTCAAAGGAGCAGCAGTTGACCCTTACCCTCAGGTAAGTGTTTTCTTCTATGGTAAACCTCGTTGAATTAATAACCCGTGGCATTTGATGATTGCTGCTTGACTGTGTTTGAAACTCCGTATTACTTCAGGTATATTAGATGTCAAGTTGAAGTGCTTTTATTCCTACCATGCACAAAGTCAAAATGAAATACCAGTTCTTTAGGCTGGAGTTTGCCATGTGTCAGATCAGAAAAGGTTAGTCATTTTTTTGGTGTGATAACCTACGGAAGAATTGCAGGGAACTTGAAGTAGGGGATGTTCTTTCAAAGTTTCCTTTAGAAAGGAGCATAAGGTTTTCATTTTCATTTGATGTGTGTGGTTTAAAGAATTAACACTGTACGGTTTTCTGTTTTGGTAATTAGGCATGTTTAAGGATGGTGGACCTAATAACTCAAGGCTTCTCTCAGGTGAAATCAATTGCAGTCTCCTAAACTCGTTGTTATGTGCAGCCAAACTCAAATGGCGGGGGGGGGGGGGGGGGGG